GGCCGTGCCCGCGGCGCCAGGTGAGCGGCGCCGCCGTCGGCTCCGCGGCGGGCGGGCGGAGCGCCGTGCGCTGCCCTGCCCGCTCCGCAGGGATCACCTGGGACCACTTCCGCGGCGTCCGGGTGATCGCCGTGCCCGGCAGCCAGGCCTACGCCAGGAGCCATGGGGTCTACGTGGCTGACGGGCAGGTCTGTAGGGCCCCTCTTCTCTCTGGGGCGGTGCATCCCAAGAGGCTTCCCAGCTCTCCTGGCACCTGCCGCGCTGGGGGGTTGCTGGACACCTCAGGCCGTTCACGGGATCGCTCCGGCTCACAGGGGCTGGTGAGCAACATCATCTACAAGGGCACCGAGGCCCAGATCAAGCAGTGTGCTTACCCTGACGGCACTGTCCCACTGGTATGGCCCGGCCATGCTGCGGCGGGCCCGTCCCCGACGGCTGCCCCGGCGCGAGCCCGGCCCCGGTGCCGCTTGCAGGTGTGTGGAGTCGTCTTCTTCGCCGCTGATGCCGCCGAGCAGCTGCTGGCCACCCACGTGGTGCCTCCTTTGGACGCCTGCACCTACATGGGTCTGGATTCGGGGGCACCACCCATCCAGGTGACGCCCTGGCTGTGGGGCTGGGGGGTCCAGAGGGCTCGCACTACTGGGTCGAGGGGGACGGGGCGGTGGGTCGGGGCGCAGCTCCCTTCTCCCCGCAGCTCTCGCTCTTCTTCGACATTGTGCTCAGCATGGCGAGCGGGCTGACAGAGGAGGAGTTCGTGCAGGGCGCGGGCGATGCCAGCACCAGGAGGGCCCGCTCCGTGCTCTGGGCGGCTCTCCGAGCCTTCCCTCTCAGCATGGGTGAGCGGCACCGCGGCGGGCGGCACCACACGGGCCYGGGGGAGTTCGGAGCAGGGTGTCCGTGAGAGCCAGGATTGGGGTCGGTCACCACTCGGAGCACTCCTGCCTCCCCACAGCCTGCGTCCCCCACGGCTCCTATGACTACCTGAGCGCAGCCGCCAGCGACCACATCCGCAGCCTGATGCTCCCRCCCTGCTCCAGCAGCCACCTCCGCTTCTGCAAAATCGCCCATTCCCACGTGGACGTAAGGCCGGCCAGCCTCGGCCTCGCTCGCTGCTTTGCCGAGGGCTGCCCGTGGGTGCCGCCGGTCCGGGTGACACCCTGGCCCACGCGCCTCCCCGCTGCCTGCAGCAGCCGCAGCTCATAGAGGATGGCTCCTCCGTCACCAACTGCCTGCTGGAAGGAGCCGTGCGGTTGGCGGCCGGCAGCGTGGTCCAGCACTGCCACCTCCAGGTATGTGGTGCGAGGGACCCTGCAGCCTTTGGGGAGCTGCATTGCTTCGTGGTGGCCCTCCTTGGGGTGCTCTGGCTTTGAGCTCTGGGCCACTATTTCACTCTTGGAGGCCCTTTTTGCTGGCAGCTGGGGCAATGGTCACCCTCCTCAGAGCCCTCATATCACCATGCTCAGAGCCCTGCCGCTGCATCCACAGGGTCCCCTGGAGATCGGCCCTGGCTGCCTCATCTCGGGCCTGACCACGGCCTCCTCGGCCGCCCTGCGGAGCTGCCTCCTGCGCGACGTGGTCCTGCAGGGCCACCACGTGCGGCTGCGGGACCTGCCCTGCCGAGTGTTCACGCTCACCGGTCGCCTCGATGACTGGCAGGTGGGTACGGGGAGCGCCGTGGGGATGTGCCTGTCCCACCACCGAGGTGTGACTGTCCTCTCTGTCTCCCATCAGAGCCCTGCTGAAGAAGCCACCTACTTGAACATGCCATGGACCGAGTTTTTCCATCGGACGGGCATACAGTAAGTGCCATGGAGGGCAGGGGGACACCTTGGGGTGCCAACAGCATGGCCAAGCTCGAGGGAGCTGGGACGGCCACCTTGACCCCTGTGATGCTGACCGCGTCGAGATGCCGATGGCCTCTCCCTCGGGCAGGGAAGGGGACGTGTGGGACGTGGAGACGCCGCGGGGGAGCCGCTGCCTGCTGCGCGCCCGCCTCTTCCCCGTGCTGCACGCTGCCGAGGCGCTGGGGCTGGAGGACGTGCTGTGGCTGCTGGCGCCCGCGCCGGGGCGGCTGCAGCGCTGGCGGACGGCCTGGCGCATGTCCTGGGAGGAGCTGCTGCCCTGCCTGGACCGGGCGGCCGAGCTGGGCGCCCGCCGGGCCCTCTTCTTTCAGCAGGGCCAGCGCAAGGTGCGGCGGGTGCTGCTGGAGCGCCGGGACAGCAGCCTGCTGCCCTTCACGCGCAGCGCTGTGCACGAGGGCTACCACGAGGCCCTGCTGCGCACGCTGGAYGAGGGTGAGCATCGCAGAGCAGGCAGGCGTATCCCTGGGCAGGCGCTGGGGTTTCTCCATCGGGCTGCCTATCCTGGCTTGCTCAAGCTGCACCCCGGGGCATCAGGGCTGCCTGTTGAACCCCATCTTCTATAAGCTTCCCCCCAAATCTAGCACCCCATGTCTATCTAGCTAGGGCCGAGTCCCCTCCTCGGCACTGGGGCTTAGAGCTGGGCTTGTCATGGTTTGCACCCTGGGGTCTGGTTCAGAGCTGCCCTGCAGCCCGGCTGCTGCCTCGCGACCCCCTTTGCAGTCGCCTCTACAGCCGATGACGCCGGTGTCGCTGCCCGGGCGCTCGCGTGCGTTGCTGACGTGCTGGGCTGCATGGCGCGAGGGGAAGGGGGCTTGCGCAGCGGGCCGGCCGCCAACAAGGAGTGGGCCTCGGCCTTCGGGCGCCTGGAGAGCGGGGACGTCGCCGGTGGCGTGCRGGAGCTGGCTGCAGAGCGCGAGAAGTGGATGAGCAGGTGAGATTTGGGGGGGAGGCCGTGAGTGGAGTGGCTGGTGCCTGTCCTGCTCCCTTCTGCTTTGGTCCTCKCCCTGGCATCCCTGTGCTCGGGGAGGCAGCGGAGGGTCCGGCCACGAGCTCAGCATCCCTTTCTTCCTAGGCCCGCCCTGCTGGTRCGAGCAGCTCGGCACTATGAGGGCGCTGGGCAGATCCTCATCCGCCAGGCTGTGATGTCCTCGTGTCAGTTTGTCACTGTGCAGTCCGTGGAGCTGCCACCCTTGGGCTGCTGGGTTCGTGCCACATGTCCAGCTCGCCTGGACCTCTCTGGTAAGTGTCATCATTAGCACTGGGGGATGCTCTTCCAGCCGCTTGCAATGGCGCCGGCATGAAGGTGGCCCCATGTTTCTGCCCTGTGGCACCACCTTGGAGGTGGAAAAGGGCCAAGGCAGCCCGTGATGCTGGGGGGAAAGCTCCGGGGCCTCACAGCGTGTCCTGACAGGTGGCTGGAGTGACACTCCTCCCATCACCTACGAGCACGGCGGGGCCGTGGTGGATGTGGCCGTGCTGGTGGACGGGCAGCGGCCGCTGGGCGCCCGTGTGCGGCGCATCGGCGCGCCGGAGCTGCGGCTGGCCAGCGTGAGCAGGGCGCCGCGGGGCCGCGTGGAGCTGGTGTGCCGCGAGCTGGAGCACTTGCGGGATTACTGCCAGCCGCACGCGCCAGGTGAGGCGCCGACCGGCTCCACGTCCCCGTCCGAGGCGTGGGTGCCTGTGTCCCAAGACAGTCCTGCAGCGTGGCGCTCGCATTTGCTGTGCTGCTGTGGGAGCAACCTCCTCTGCACCTGCACCTCCTCGTGTGGTCCTTGGGGAGTAGAGCGTGAAGGAAGCAGCGGATGGTGCAGAAGGCGCCAGCTTTGCTTTCTCTGTCCGCTTTCTTTCGCAGGAGCCCTTCTGAAAGCTGCCTTCATATGCACCCAGGTGGTGCAGTTTCCCTCGCCGAAGCCCCTACAAGCCCAGCTGCTAGAGAGCTTTGGTGGTGGCTTTGAGGTGCACACCTGGTCCCAGCTGCCACACGGCTCGGGCCTGGGTACGTTGGTAGGGAAAGAGGGTGCGGGGCCAAGCCCAAGCCCTGCCTCACCAGCGCTGGGGCGTCCCCTCTGCTCTAAGCCATAAGATGGGGTGTCCCACTCACTGCAATGTGGCTGTGCCCTTGTCATTGGCTCTGGTGGCCACTCTTGGGCAGTGTGAGCCTCTGCCCCTCCTTCTCCGTGAGGCACGGGGCTGCCGGTGCCATAGGGCTGTCCTGCTCCTCGCTTCCTTGGCCCTGCTTGTGCTCCCTGTAGGTACCAGCAGCATCCTGGCCGGAGCAGTGATGGCAGCGCTGTACCGGGCAGCAGGGAAGGCTGCCAATACCGACTCCCTCATCCACGCTGTGCTGCACCTGGAGCAGAGGCTCACAACAGGTAGCATCTGCGAGGACGCATCCCCAGTTGTGTCCTTGCCCATGAGGCACCACGTGGGCCACCCGGGGCTGCTCTGGCCGTGGCTGAGGCTGTCCCCCGCTCCGCAGGCGGCGGGTGGCAGGACCAGGTCGGCGGGCTGGTGCCAGGCATCAAGATCGGGAGGTCGAAGGCCSAGCTGCCGCTGCGGGTGGAGGTGGAGGAGATCGTGGTGCCCCAGGGCTTCGTGCAGACTCTCAACGAGCACTTGCTGCTGGTGTACACAGGCAAGACCCGCCTGGCCCGCAACCTGCTCCAGGTAGGGYGTGGGACCCAGGCCCTGCTCGCTGCGATCTGTAGGGTGGCATTGCCACGTCCTGGCTCCGACTGTCACTTCTAAAATGAGATGTCACACGTGACCCGTGCTATTGGTGCCGGTCCCCTTCCTTGCAGTAACAGTGCCGCGTCCCAACGGGAGCTGGCGCTGAACGTGGCGCAAGTGCCCGCCATGCTCCTGCCCGCCCACTGTCCTGTTTTGCAGGATGTGGTGAGGAACTGGTATGCCAGGCAGCCCACGGCCGTGCACAACACCAGCGCGCTGGTAGGCACCGCCGAGGAGTGCGCCCGGGCTCTGCGGCAAGGTATGAGCCCCCACGTACCCGGCCTCCCCTCCCAAGGAGGCAGCACCACCAGGGCCAGCCAGGCAGCCTGGAGATCCCTGCGTTGCCCTCCGTGCCTCAGAGAATGCCAGGGAAAAGCCCAGCTGCTCCATGTTAATGAACAAAGCAGCCCAGAGACCATGGGGAGAACCTGGACGGAGGCTCCGGCAGCTGCCCCGTTTCTCCTRTGTTCCAGGTGATCTTCCGCTCCTCGGTGAGTGTCTGAACCGCTACTGGCAGCAGAAGAAGTGCATGGCCCCCGGGTGCGAGCCGCTGGCCGTGGGGCGCCTCATGGCYGCTCTCCAGCCTCACGTCTACGGGCAGTGCTTGGCTGGGGCCGGCGGTGGCGGCTTCCTCTATGTCTTGACCAAAGCCCCGTGCCAGAAGGAAGCCTTGCTCCAAATTCTAGCAAAAACGGAGGTGAGCCGTGGGTGGGAACTGTTGCATCCTGTCCCCAAGTGGGGACAAGGCCCCACGAGGCTCTCCCTGACTCCTGTCCCAACCTATGTGTCTGTTCCAGGGCGTGGGCAACTTCAGCATCCACAGTGTTGAAGTGGATACAGGCGGCCTCTCAGTGGATATAGAGGGAAGTGAYCCTGAAGGCCACACTCGCCCTGGAGAGGATGCAGCCTTGGGATGACCTCCCATCCTGTACTGTTCCTCCTGGATACGTAGGGCAGAGATAGGGAGCAGCTGGCCAGCCCTGTGAAGCAGGAGCCGCCCACGACAGAGTCTCGGCTCCCTGGACCTGCAGCTGGGACTGGTTCTAGTTCGTGTGCCGGCTCGCTGGCACATGGACAGAATCCTCTGCTTGGCCACCCCGTACCAAAGCTGAGCCCAGGGCAGGTCCTTACACTGGAGCYTGGGCTATCCTGGGAACAGCGGCTGGACCTTGGCTGTGGAGGGGTCTCAGCTGCCTATCCTTGGGGTGCCGGGCGCTGTCCTGCCCAACAGCCTTTGTCCACCCTGACATAACCTGCTCCTTCAGCTGGCACCAGCAAGTGCCTTAAGTGCCACAAGGTGCTGGCCTTGTGCCCACCTTGTGCTGGTGCCTGCCCTCGAGGCTGGAGGCACTGTGCTGAGCCAGACCTTCATGCTCACCTTGGGCTTTGACCTGGGCTTTTATGGTTCCTCAAAGCAGCGACTAACCTCAATGCTGTTCCCTAGAGCAGGGCTAAGGTGAGTGTTACTGCTGAGTCTTCCACTCCTTCACTAATAGTGGCTCAGGCTGCCTGTTTGCGGTGCCCCACGGTCCATCATGGATGTAGAATCAAGTTTTCCCCCCGCCCTTGCTTCTCTAAGAGTCAGGTACCAGGAGTTTATTTCTGCAGCACCTTGCTGCCCCCGACCCTCTCTTTGAATAAAACAAATGCTGGCAACACATGGTCTTCATTGCCATCTGTCCTTGCCTGTGCTCTGTCACCCTTCCTGTCCCCTTAGGCCAGCAATGACCTGAAGCTGGAGCAAAGCTCAGCCCTCTGTGCAGCAGGTCAAGKGGAGAGCACGGGGGCCTGTCCCTCTTTTCTCTCTGCTGCTGCTGGTGGAGGGGCCACAAAACRATGGGTGGGCAGTGCCCRSTGTTACCTCMTGGGTGTCTGTACAGSTGTTGTGCCACTGTGGGGCTGTGGYTGTGACACAGGGGAAGATAGAGCAGCCAGCACCGTCTGTTCTCAGGGTCCCTCCAGGCACATGCATCAATCACGGTTACTGCTCAGTGGGGCAAGATTTATTTATGCAGGAGCTGTACAGGTCTCAGAGAGCCAACAGGGTCCTAATTCAGCTTCTTGGAGAGATGCCCCTGCTTCCACCCACTACCTGCCACCTCTATCACTCTTTTCTCCCAGTAGTCTCCCTCTTCTACAGGACCATCCCCACCACCACCTCTGAGAAAGGCAGGACGTGGACTGTTTTAAGACTGCAGTAGCTCTTACAAAAACTGGTGGCACTTGTGCAGCCCCTCCAGAGAAGGGTAAGGGCAACACAAGAGGGGGCTGGTTCAAACTAAAGCTCTGCCCACAGTCCCACAACAGCTCCAAAACTTCCTCGATGGCCACCCRAAGGAAGGGAGCATAAAAGGAAGTCTCAAGCTCGCAGCGGTTTCAGAATTAGTGTCAGACTGCTCTCAACATGAGAGATTTCTCTGCTGCCTTATTTCTGGCACCAGAAAACAGTGGAAGGCTCTTCCCCCCAGACCAAGAGAAGCCCTCTGCTGTGAGGAATATGACCAGGACAGCAGCCACCACTGGGCAAGGGCACCGTATGGCCGCCAGCAGCGCTGGGTGGGCTGGGCCCAGGCTGTCACGTTCCTGATGGTGTTCACAGGCTGAAGCAAGCACAGGCTAACTACAGGCGCAGCCGCTTGATGTCCTCGCTTCGGAAGTCCATGCGGAGAGCCAGCACCTGCCGGACCTCCGCGGGCGTGAGGCGCCACGTGAGTGGGCCCGAGTTGGGGCCCCAGTAATCCAAGATCTCCGTCACCTAGAGGAAGATGAGAGTGGCAGTGGACACCTCAGCCACCTTCATGCCCRGGTTCAAACCCTGCCTAAGCTGCTGATGAGGAACAGTGGGAGGATGATGGCAGGGCAGCTTCCTGCCCCTAACTCCTGCAAAGGAATGACCATCAGGAAAGGGGCAAAGCCTCCTAGCAAGTCCCTGCTGTGGAAGGCAGGACAAAGTTTGGACAAGCTCAGTAAATCCACGTGTGGTCTAATAAAAGCAGAGCAGGTGCAGCTTACCCTTTCCAGGTTGAGGATTGTGGCCATTTGGGAGAGCCGAGCAAACTTGTCGCGGATAGTCCAAGTAGTGACTGTGGTGAGATAAGCTATGAGAGACCTCAGCTCCTTGTCGAACTGCAGACCACCAAGCTGTGGGGACCAAGGGAGCTCAGTGAATTCTCCAAGTAGGCCTAGGCTGCTGTCAAACCATGCACACAAGTAGGCATTACAGTGGTGGTGGGTTGGCTCTGAAGGGTTAGATCTCCTCCTGTGGCAGATGACAATGGCTCCTCTTTGCACCCACCTCAAACCCTAGCCCCTTCTGCCTGCATRCACTAATGCAAGACTTCCTCGTCACCTGTTAGAGAGCTTCTCTGAGGGCAGTATTTGCCCCTGCCCTGCCCCRTCCCTTGGAAGGTAAGGGAGGGTTTCATAGTGGAAGGCTTGCAGGCTGACTGGCCTACAGGARAGGTCAGTGTTGTACTTACCCTGCTGAAGGTGGATTTGAGAAGCACTTTCTCCAGTTCAATGGCTATGAGGCTGGTCATGAGACCAGTAAGGGTATCATAGATCACGGGAGACAATCCAGCCTGAAAACAGAAACCTGTGTCATTGGTGTCAGGCTAAAAACTGAGCAGAGGGCCCTAAATCCATGCCTGTAAAATGCTTGCTCAGTGAGGTAACAGCCCTGGCCAAAGCTATCAGCCTCCAGGAGGCCCATGACATTGTTGTCTGTCATTCCCCCGGGCAGGGGAGAAGAGCTGGAAGATGCTGTGAGCTGCCACGTCTGCTTCCCCTCACCTTGAACTCCGTCATCTGCTGTTCCAGATTGATGATGAACTGCTGGACCCAGGGATCATTAGCTTCATAGTCGCTGAACTCCTCCTGACATCAAAATACAAGAGAGTTGCTTGTTTGGCCCAGTGTGAACACAACAAMCCCCCCCTGAAATTGTCTTAAGTTTCTCTCAAGCCACACTGGGACGCAGAGCAAGTCCCAGGAGTTTTATCTCCTCTATGCTGAGGAAAGAGGAGAGGAACAAGGTGGCACRAGCAGGTGGTTGCTCTGACTGCACTGCCACACTGAGTAGTGCAGGAAGCAGGGAACACGGAGTCTCACCTCCTCAATGTTATGAGACACGGAGAGGAAGAGGTTGATCCAAGGCTTCACCTGGGGTTTGATGGCTGTGCTGTTCAACTCGTTGAGACCTTCCTGAGGGGGACAGGAAGGACATGAGAGCCACTGAGCCCATTTAATGTTCAACYCCTCTGCTGTCTGCAAAGGCTCTTCTATCTGCTCCAGTGCTATGGAGCTCCTGAAAAATCTCTCCTGCCAACCCACCCCCATTTGGCTCAGCAAGATGGCAAGAAAGCTCCCCCAGCACAAAACCATTCAGGTACCAACAGCATCTGGCATTTCATGAAYGTTTTTAACTAAAACTGGCATTTCTGAGCAGGCCCTGCTGGCAAGTGCCCTTTTCCAAGGCAAATGCAACACATGTGTGACTCAGGCAGTGCAGGAACTAGTTGCCTAGCATCTTCATTACTTTGCAGGCAATTTTAATACTACACAAACACTACAGCGGGAGAACTGCACTGCTCATTCATGAGTAGCTTGGGTTTGGTATTGACCRTGACCCTCAAGAGGCTTTACTTGCAGTACCAGTCTGAAGACTGGATCACAGTGAACTGGAAAGGGAAATAAAAATCAGCCTTGCCCCTCTGCAGCAGTGATGGCAAATCTAGTTCAAAGTGATCTCTTTTGCTTCTTTCCACAGGAGTATTAGGCCTTTCTGCTCCCCTGCCCATTGGAGAGCACTGTGAAAGTCTAGAGGAAGAGGCTGCRTGTGCCACATGAGAGGGGCTTTAGCCAACGAGCCTTCTGTTCCAAACAGGGGCGTATTCCCACTGATAGAAAGGAGATGCAACATGAGAGAACTGCTTCTCTACCCCATTCCTCTTGCCACGTCACCTAGCAAAGYTCTAGATATCTCAGCAACATGCCAGGCCATGTAGGAGAATGGTTTCGATAAGACTGCTATTGATATTTCTAGTGCTTAAAAGGCTGAGACTGCCAGTGCTCTGTGCTGAGTGAAGACAAAAGAAACAACCTTCCTTCAGACTCTGCAGCTGCTTCCAGAGCTTTTATGCAGCTCCAGCTGGTGCAAAGGGGCTGGATCTGTTCACAGGATCCAAAGTAGATCAATCTGCTTCCTTCTCTCCCTCTACCAAGGACTCCAGGACTAAGACACAACCAACGCCTCGGGCTGAAATGATTCCTGCCACCATGTCCCAGCACAACAGTACTGACAAGACACTCACCTGCAGGAGGTCACGGAATTTGTTGGAGACTGCAGCCATGTCAGAGAGGCAGCTCTCGATCTTGGCCTGCGCTTGTTCCCCCCCAAAACCTTGGCTGAGCAGTTTGGTGCAGTCACTCTGCAGGGAAGAGATCCATGAGAAAGATGCAGCAACAACCTGGCTTGCTTCGGTCCCTGGGCTGTGCTGAGCTCTGGCTGCCTGCCTGCACACTTGCAGGCATGGAGCAGCATGCACCTCCCACACAGAACCACAGARTGGTTGGAAGGGACTTCTAGAGATCATCTAGTCCAACTCTCCTGCTCCAGCAGGGACACCCAGAGCATGTGGCACAGAGTGACATCCAGGTGGGCTTTGAAGACCTCCGGAAAAGGAGACTCCACAACCTCCCTGGGCAGCCTGTGCCAGGGCKCTGTCTCCCTCACAGTGAAGTTCCTCCTTACACAGAGAYGGAACTGCCTGTGTTGCAACTTACACCTGTGAAGGCAGAAGCAGGTTTCTCCAGCTGGAGAGAGGAGAGCAGGACAGAAAGCCAAGGCCACCACCACCAGGGACCCTCTCAATACTACACATCTTAATCAACCGACCTCGTGTCTGTCGGCAACCTGGAGGAATTGGTACTTCYAGCTAGTCCAGGTTATACTATTAAATATTAGTGAGCGCTTGCTTTGGCAGCTCAGAACTGCTTTCCTAAGGCAGGAGGCCACAGACTTCAGGAATCTCGGCAGAGGGAAGTCTGGAAGGTTTATCTAACCCCCTTGGGGARGAAGTTGCAGGTTACAGTTACGGGGGAAAAAAAAAGGAAAGAATCCAAGCTGCACCTCCAAAGTCTTCTTTAGGGTCATGATATTTTCACTGCAGACTTCAACATTGTTTAAGGTCACCTGAGGAGGAAAAAAAAAGTCACTGGAATTTCTCTGCATCACAAGCACAAGTTTGCACACTTCCTCTAAGCCTTGCTCCCTCTACAGACGGAAATGCAAATCCATAAGAGGACAGGGGTGCTCCTATGTGATCAGTGAACTGCAGCGCTGCTATCAGGTGAAAGGAATGAGAGGATCTTAGATACTCAGGGGAGAGCAGTGCAGAACCCCCTTCCCCCAACTCACTGTACACCAGGACAGCCATCAAACCCACCAGAAAGGACTGCTTAGCCTCGTCGGTGCTTTCAATTCCTTTGGTGTCGAACTTGCCCTGCTGCAGGCTGCTGTGCATGATGCTCACGGCGCTGGTCACCCCTCTCTGGAAGTCCTGGAAGGTGGTGGCTGGAAAGCCCTGCTTCAGC